ATGGCAAAATAAAAAAACATCACTTTTGCTTAGAAAAATAAGTTTTATCAGTTAGGGGGGAAATCTTTTCTACATAGGGAATAATTAATCACGATTATATGATTCATAAAACTTTTATTGGACTAATGAAATTCCTCTGATGTGTGACTGCTGGATTTCGTTGAAATGAAATTCAGTGAATTCCTCTTCATTTCATTCATATCCTAATTCAACTTCCTGTGGGGCGTTGCCTATTCAAATCAAATTCACATCCGAGCATTGTAAGGGAGCCAGTTATTAAATTCAGAATTTTACACAACCCTGCTGTTCAATTCCATCTTCTGTCTCGAATCCCTCTACGGAGCCGGATTTGTGAGTATTTGCAAAGTGTGTTTGGGCTTCAGAAGCCAGACATCAATAACTGCTCTAATCTACAGCCTGATTCAAATTTAGATTGTCCTGTTCTTTTAAAGTGCTTTAGTCGCAGCGTCTGAGTAATACTTGTGCTCAGATGTGTTTTCTGCTCTCTGGGGTGTGTTTCAGATTGTTCTTCAGATGCTCATTAGATTAAATGAGTATTTGTTCACTCAGACAGAGCACTGCTGTGACATGTGCAGGCGCTAGCAAAAAAAAAGTGTCATGGGGAACATTGATGCTCGAGGATATGTTTGGCTTAGTTATTACTCCATTAGTGGACATTTGCGTCTCCAAACCAACTTATCGTACAAATACCCCGGGGTTTATTGTCTTGAGCAGTGCCGCTATAGTGATTGGCCACCAATTGGTAAAGTTCATTGTCCCTTGAGGCGTTTCAACCTACAACCTTTTTTTAGCTGAGATCTTTAAAAGAATATTCTGGGTTTGAGTTAAATTGACTGCATTTGTGGCATAATGTTGATTACCACAAGAAAATAATTTCCACTTGTCCCTCCTTATCTTTAAAAAAGCAGAAATCTGGCTTTCAGGAAGGCACTTAAAATGGAAGCCAATTAAAATGCTAACTGTTTCAATAGTATAGCCACAAGATTCGAGCAATTTGCATGTTAACAGGATTTTAGAGTGAAAAAAATCGGGCCAAGTTATATCCGATGTTAACGTTGTGTAACGGTGGCAGCCGCCCTAATACAAATAAATGTCTTTAACGAAAAGTTCGGGCGCCAGACAGGATTAAACCTGTCAAACAATTAACTTAACCCAGGATAGCAGAAAAGGTAACCACCTGTTACACAACAAATTATAATAATAATCCCAGAAAAAAGGTCAGTTCGCAAGGGATATTTATTTTTCCACACATGTTCATAATCATAAATCACACAAAAAACCGAAATGGACCCAAAAAAAAAGAAGAAAGGGAAAAAAAAACAATAAGAAGTGAAATTCACACTAGCGGTCTCTGGCCGTTGAGATCCGTGCCGGGAACCGACCGCGTCACGCTATCCACGTTTGCAGATTCGTGTCCACATTCATTCAAAAAACGAAATGTCCATAAGGAAAAAAAAGAGAGAGGAAAAAGAAAACATTGGATAAACATCTCATTAAATTCGTGGTAAATTACCAACATTAAATCAACAGTACAATAATTTTAAATAGGCACACAGAATGTGTGAATATGAAAGCTATGCGAGTGGGTGCGTGCATGGATAGAAGTGCGTGTAATGGCGGCGCAGAGGTACTGACCAAGTTTGCAGATTTTGAAGGCACCAATGAGTATCGCGGGTCATCAGACACCAAGATAGGTGGACAAGCAGCTTTCCGCGTTGCCCTCAGAACAGCTCACGACGGTCGGTCTGGAAGCGCACTGCTTCAGTCACGCACCAGACATTTTACGTTTCACATGAAACAGCTGATTGACACGCACGCCGTCTTTCCACCAAACCATCACTCATACTGGCAAACCTCATGTGCAAACAAACGGATGACGCTCCAGATTCAGGTACTACACACTCCTTTTAAATACAACTTCCTTCCGTTGTTAATTGACACGCTCCACCCAAAATCACGCTAAAATGAAAGTGAAAGTAAACAATGTTGTGAGACAGATTCTCTTATTTGCCACACTCTCCCCCCCTAGAAGAAAACAACCTATGGTTGTTTAGAAGGGAGAAAACGCAGATTAAAATCCTAGAAAATCTTCTTCATCAGAGGATTCTTGAAACATATCCAGGAGTTTTTCCTTTTCCTGTAACTCCCATTCCGCAGCCGTTGGATAACACATTTTTATGTTACAAACGTGAGCTGTACGTACATCTTCTCCACTGTCTTCAAGGGCTATTTGATAGTTCAACGGACCCAGCTGTTTGAGAATACGGTAAGGACCTTTCCATTTTTGGGCTAGTTTTGCACTAAATTTACGCTGTGCATCAGACTGTGGATAGTTACGCAACCATACTCGATCCTTGCTTTTGAATGTTACATCTCTTCTATTTTTATTATAGTTTCTCAGTTGTCTCATTTTGGCTCTCTTGCTGTTTTCTTTGGCTTGAGTTTGCAGATGATGAAGATGATGAACTACATCATACGAGGCAGCGTCTGGGGTAAGATTAGGCCCAGAGAGCATTTTGTCCATTGGACTTTGGAGTTTCCTACCCAGCTGGAGTTCTGCTGGTGTTAATCCAGTGGTCTCTTGAACAGCTGAATTAAGGGCGAATCTAAATTCAGGTAAGAACTGGTCCCACCTCTGATGGTTGTCATCCACATAGGCTGCCATCATGCTCTTGAGAGTCCGATTAACTCTTTCTGTCATGTTGGTTTGGGGGTGATAGGCTGTAGTTAATCTAGGAGTAACACTCCAGTTCTCAAATAACTCTCTGAAAACAGATGAAACAAACTGAGCGCCTCTGTCTGAGAGAATGAAGTCTGGTACGCCCCATCGTGTCAGGATGTCTTTTCTGAAGATGGAGGCAACATTCTTCGCTGTGGCACTCCGAATGGGGAACAACTCAACCCATCGAGAATAATAATCAACAAAGACAAGCAGGTATTCATTTTGATTTGTGCTACGTGGCAACGGACCCATGAGGTCGACTCCCAGCATTTGGTTTGGGCGGCTTGTTGTGATTTGCTGTAATTTTCCAGCAGGCTTCCGGTTATCGCTTTTCAGAGTTTGACATTTAACACAGGTTCTCACATGCTGTTTCACCGCTGACCACATGCCAGGCCAAAATGCTACTTCCTGAAGACGCTTATAGGTCTTGTAGATTCCTCCATGGCCACAGATGGGAGTGGAGTGATAGTACTGAAGAAGGGTGGATCTGAGACTGCTGGGAATGTAGATTCTGTAATGCAGTTGGTTATTTGTCAGGTATGTTTTGTGATACAATTTGTCCTCAATGATTTCGTATTGGTCACTCAGACTGGCACAATTATCTGCAACTGATTGCAATAATTTTGAAACTTCGGGGTCGTTGTGCTGTTCTTCCCACAGGACAACATCTGATACAGGCAGTGCTGGGTCTTTTCCGCTGGTGTATAAGTTACATCCTGGGGTATACGAAGACCTGGATAGAGCATCCGGAGCTACATTTAGCTTCCCTTTTCTGTACTCAATAACAAAATCGAATTTCTGCAATCGCAGAACCCAACGAATGAGGCGGCTGGTGGTTTTAGTGGAGTTCATGACCCATTGCAGTGCAGCATGGTCAGTAACAACTGTAAAAAGCTTGTGCTCCAAGTAATGTTGCCACTTTTCCAGGGCCCAGATGACTGCAAGACATTCTTTCTCTGTTGCAGTATAATTGAGTTCGGCCCCAGTTAAGGTTCGGCTTGCATAGGCGATAACCTCCTCTCTGCCAGCATCCTTCCGTTGAGCTAATATGGCACCCAGGCCGATGTCACTGGCATCGGTGTATACCATGAATGGACGCTGAAGATCGGGATGGCCAAGAATAGGTGGTGAGGTGAGGCAAGTCTTGAGTTGGTCAAACGCTTGTTGACACTGGGTTGTCCATTTGTAACTATGTCCCTTTTTTTTCAGTGCGTTGAGGGGTTCAGTAATCTTGGAAAAATTTTCAACGAAGCGGTGATACCACCCTGCTAACCCGAGGAACCGCTGAACTTCCTTCAAGTTTGTAGGCACAGGGTAGGCATGAATGGCTTCAGTCTTACAAGGGTCTGCTGAAATGCCCTTGACACTTACAACATGTCCTAGGAAGGTGAGTTCCTGATGACAGAATTGACTTTTTTTCAAGTTTATGGTGAGACCAGCAGTTTCTAGTCTATGGAGTACAGTCTGGAGGTCGTGGAAATGTTGTGTTATTGAAGGCGAGTACACAATGATGTCATCGATGTACACAAAGCATATTTTTCTCCTTAGTTCTCCCAGAACTGTCTCCATGAGCCTCTGAAAAGTTGCGGGAGCATTTTTGAGCCCAAACGGCATAACATTAAATTGATATAGACCTGCAGGAGTGATGAAGGCTGTCTGGGTTTTGCTATTGGGGTCCATGGTCACCTGCCAATATCCACTGTTTAGATCAATCGTAGAGAAGATGGCTGCCCCAGAGAGTGATTCCAGAATTTCTGTTATATTGGGAAGAGGATAAGCGTCACTTTCTGTTACAGAATTAACTTTTCTATAATCCACACAGAATCTGAATTTGCCGTCTTTTTTAGGCACCAAGACCACCGGTGATGCCCAACCAGAGTGGGAGGGTTCAACTATTCCTTGTCTCAACATTTTATCGAGTTGCTCATCCAGTGCAAGTTGCTTGATGGGAGACAACCGGTATGGTCGTTGTTTGATGGGTACTTGGCTGGTGGAATAGATGCGGTGTTGGAGTACCTCAGTACGTCCAGTACGGAGAGTACACACCTGAGGGCTGCCTTTCAAGATTTGGAGTAACTGTAGCTTACCTTCAAAGGGTAAATGAGCAGCATCCACAGCATGTTGTATCAATGTTTTTTCATCAATACCGTCCGGGTATTGAATTTGCAATGGTGATGACGGAGGGGGAACAGAAGTTAATAAGGAAAGGTTTTGTGTGGCTTCCTTAAATTGACACCTCTCTTTTTGGGGACTTGCAGTCGGCACACTTGGATTTCCTGGTTGAAAGGGGTACTCCTTTGAAGGATCAAGCTTGAAAGAGTATTTCTGATCAATGACATTGAGTTGCAGGCCACTGAAGAAAATAAAGTCCAACCCCAAGACTACAGCATAGGCTAGAGCTTGGGAGGAAAGTACAGCAGTAGGTAAGGTAAATGATTGGTCGTGTAAATGGATTGTGGTGTTCAGCCATCCTAATGGAATCTCTGCTTTTCCATTTGCCAGATAAAGAGGACCACGGCACCACGGTTGCAGCTGGTCCGGGGATGTAAGTTGCCTCATGAGATTCTCATTGATGAGTGTGTAGCTTGCACCAGTGTCCACAATGGCCTTTCCTGACCAGGCATCAATACAAAGTGGGACAACTAGTTGTTGAGGTATCGCTACACGTTCATTAGAGCTTGTGGATGAGGAGGAGGTTTTCTTGGTTGCTGATTGTGACTTATGAATTCTCGTTGCAGCAACAGAGTTGTTGGACGGGTGACCACCTGACTTGGGGTGATAAGGTTGTTTGCCGCTGATAGAATACTGTGGACCAGGTGCTTGGGATGACTGGGGAGAGGTATAGTGTGGACATTTTCCGGGTGGATGCTGTCCTCTACATCTCCAACACTGAACTGGGATTTTCTCAGTAGGTTGGTTTGAGGAGGGTCTTTGTGATGTGGATAGATGTTTAGGGCCCATTCGACCACAATCATAACGAAGCTGTTGCTCATAATCTTTTTCCAGTTGATGTCCTAATTTTACCAGCTCTTCCACAGTATTCACCCGACTACGCAATTGGCTGGCAAGGTATGGCTTGATATTCTTGAGTATCATCTTCACAATTTCACCCTCTGTAAAATCTGCCTTCCATCTTTTACAGAGAGCTCTATAAGAAAACGCAAAATCTCTAATAGATTCTGTCTCTCTCTGAATTCGAGTACGGACACGTTCTGCCAGTTCGTCCTCATAATCCTCAGAAAGGAAAGCAGATAAGAATGCAGCCTCAAACTCATTCCAGGTGGTTATGTTGGACCGTCTGACTTCCCACCAGTCACGTGCTGTTCCGTATAAAACAGTACGGAAGGTAGCCAAGATGTCTGCATCTGTCAGGGGATGTAGAGCCAAAAAATCCTGACATTTGGTTAAGTACAGTAAGGGGTCTGCATCGTCTGAAGGCCTTCCAAATGTGGGGAAAGTTAATCTTATATGGTCACTCTTAACCACAGATGTTGAAAGAGGGGTTGAAGAAGATGATGTCACTGGAGCAGAAACAGATGGCAGAGATGAAGTGGTGGTGCTAGGATCTGGTGGTGTCAATACACTTAACTTTCGTTGATCCGCACTTTCTTTGACACTTTGAAATCCTTTCTCCACTTCACTTTTCAATTCTTTGAAACTGGTGAGACATTGATCAGTTTGTGTAACACATTGTTGGAGTTGTGAATTTATCTTATCATGGCTTGTTTGGAATATGTTTTGAACAGCTTTGATGTCCTGCTGAACCTCTGACTGGAGCTGATCAATCATAAAACGTAGTTCAGATACCAAGGTAGATTCCACCTTTTGGAGTTCTCCTGTGATCATCAACTTCATTGCTTTAGTCAGATTGTCTGCTTCAGACTCTTCTTGTTGCTTAGTGGTAGTAAACAGAGTTAAAACTTGATTTTTGTTATCCTCCACTTTTGTAGCAAGATCAGCCATCTGGCTCTGGTGATGAGAAGAGGTATCTTTCACTTCCTTGGTAAGTTCATTCACTCTTATTTCTTGTCTTGCCATTAAATCAAACAAGGTATCCCAATTCCCTTGTACGCGGGCAGTGACTTCTTGTATTCCCCTTCCAGGAGTTGGTAGAATGTGGGGCAGGTCATGTTGTGCCACTGAAGAAGGAGTTCCACCTTCAGATGAGGTGCAAAGTTGCATGTTATCTACTTGTGGTGCCCAGGTGAGGGTTTGCACTGGAGGGCTGCCAGCCAGAGCAGGAAAAGACGTGCGCACATGGGTTCCAGGATGAACAGGGCTGAGTAGAATGGGGGTATGGTAGAAGGCAGGAACACTTGGAGGTGGTACCAGAGACATCGGAGGTCGCAGTACAGGCGGCCATACTGGAGTTGAGATGTCTGGTGGAGGCTCCATTTCCACAAAAGTAGATTGGGAAGGAGGGGTATTTGCCATGAGTGTTGGAGTGTAAGAATGTTGGGTGGAAAATTTTTTTTAAATAAATGTATCAGTAAATGAAATGTGTGTCAGTTTGTTTGTCCCCCCAAATTTTTCCAAAACAACAAAATACAACTTCACAAATGTTCAATCAATATTTTCAACACACACAAAAAAAACATTAAGTCAAAAACAAAAAGGATTCACAGTAAATCACCTTCAATTATCTCAATTATTGTGACTCCTTAGAGATAACACTCTAATTACTCACTTAACGGTCACAGTTTACACACACAGAAAACTAATTTCAGAAACAAACAATTTACAAGGTTAAGTCAGACAATTTCATTGTTTCACTAGTTTTCCATCAGAAAATAAACTTTACAAATCACAATGTTTCAGAGGTTTTTTTTTTTTTTTTTTTTTTTAAATGTTCAATAGTTCACAGGGATTTTCAAAATCAAATGCTCAAGTTTCAAGTGTCCAAGTGTTTGGTTTCATGTCCCTGTTCGGGCGCCACTCTGTAACGGTGGCAGCCGCCCTAATACAAATAAATGTCTTTAACGAAAAGTTCGGGCGCCAGACAGGATTAAACCTGTCAAACAATTAACTTAACCCAGGATAGCAGAAAAGGTAACCACCTGTTACACAACAAATTATAATAATAATCCCAGAAAAAAGGTCAGTTCGCAAGGGATATTTATTTTTCCACACATGTTCATAATCATAAATCACACAAAAAACCGAAATGGACCCAAAAAAAAAGAAGAAAGAGAAAAAAAAACCAATAAGAAGTGAAATTCACACTAGCGGTCTCTGGCCGTTGAGATCCGTGCCGGGAACCGACCGCGTCACGCTATCCACGTTTGCAGATTCGTGTCCACATTCATTCAAATGTCCATAAGGAAAAAAAAGAGAGAGGAAAAAGAAAACATTGGATAAACATCTCATTAAATTCGTGGTAAATTACCAACATTAAATCAACAGTACAATAATTTTAAATAGGCACACAGAATGTGTGAATATGAAAGCTATGCGAGTGGGTGCGTGCATGGATAGAAGTGCGTGTAATGGCGGCGCAGAGGTACAGATTTTGAAGGCACCAATGAGTATCGCGGGTCATCAGACACCAAGATAGGTGGACAAGCAGCTTTCCGCGTTGCCCTCAGAACAGCTCACGACGGTCGGTCTGGAAGCGCACTGCTTCAGTCACGCACCAGACATTTTACGTTTCACATGAAACAGCTGATTGACACGCACGCCGTCTTTCCACCAAACCATCACTCATACTGGCAAACCTCATGTGCAAACAAACGGATGACGCTCCAGATTCAGGTACTACACACTCCTTTTAAATACAACTTCCTTCCGTTGTTAATTGACACGCTCCACCCAAAATCACGCTAAAATGAAAGTGAAAGTAAACAATGTTGTGAGACAGATTCTCTTATTTGCCACAGTTGTTGCCATGACAACGTAACGCCAAAAACCCTAAAACAAACGTAAAATTGATGAGAGCAACTTCAAAGCTCAAATAATACACACATTTTAACAGAAGATCAATATTTCTGCATTTAAATGTCCAAATACTGTCCCCATTCACTTCCATTGTAAGTGCATTACGGTTAACTTGAATTTTGAATATTTTTAAAGAAAATGAGCGATAAGTCAAATTTATTTAATCAACTTACTGTACATCTATATACATACATGACATTTCTGAATTTCATGTGCTTTTTTCAGTTTCAACTTTTCAAAACTGAAGCGTTTTCGCTAGTGCTCCATTGTGCCTCAACATATTTTTTTTTATTTTTATTTTTTTATAGAAAATGAGGGATGAAACTAAATTATTAATAGACATTTCTAAATTTCATGTACTTTTTATACTATTTAACTTTTTATAATATATATGTGTATAAGTCATTATTGTGTTAAATGAGAAAATCATCAAATAGACATTATAGTTCTGGCATGAAACTCTGGATGGTGCAGGCTGATAGGTCTTTAACTTATTGGTTGCAATCATGTCGTTATCTACATAGCACAGCTGATTGGTTGCTGTTGCATCAGCGGCCAATGAGCTTGCAGCCCAAACACTCCAATACCTGGCATTGTGTGCTGTTATCAGTTTGCAGCGCGCTTTCAGCACCCTCCACCTTCCCCAGCTCCACCTGTATAGATCTGCCACGGGGTTTAAGTCATGTATGTCACATGTGAAGCAGCAGCATCTTTAGCTTGTGCAGTTTCCCAATAAACACCACTTCAACAGTCTCTTCACTATGCAGGTGTGTTTAATAATCAAACAGAAGTTTTTCAACTTTAATGTTTTCAGCTCTTTGGTCTTTTCCCAGCCACACACACCATCAACATTCTCTCACACCCTCTATTAGAGCCTGCTCTCTCAGGCAGCCTAGGTTTTGTAGCCTTAGTAGGCGGCCATCTTGCCCCCCAGCTTCCCCGTTTGGTGACCTGGGTGTGGTAGTTCTTACCAAGACGCCATCTTAGGGCAATGTATCTGCCCTCTAGAACAACCCCTCTCATGATGCCACAATATACTGTGTGTGTGGTGTGTGCGTGCGTGTGTTAGTGCTGTCAAATCGATTAATTGCAATTAATCACTGTAACTGGGATTTTTTTTTTTTTAAGAAAATAAGGGATAGTTGAAGCTATTTTGGAGCTCAACTGAACCCAGAATTGGTTTTTAACCAATCAGCCAACTTTAGGGCCAGTTGGTCATTCATAGTGCATCAGCAGAAACACACACGCACACACACACATCTGAGAGGCTTCTGTAAAATGCAGCTGCTTTATTTAAGGCTCGTGTTGTTCTAGTTATTCTTTTTTTAAGAGACCTGAGCTCAGCTGTTCCTCATGATGTCCTCGGATGCTCCCACTGGGCATCGGGCTGCTTTTGAACCACAGCTGTGGACCCAGTGAGCCTGTAGAGGGCAACAGTCCTGAGCCGTGGGATAGGAACACAACCCTCTCGAGATTATAGACACAGAACATTTGGCCTAAAAGAAGCTGATCAGTTCAGCTATGATACAAAGTTTATCTCTGATGTGGTACGGTGGGTTTCAGTGGGTTGAAAGGTGCACGTCTGAAAATCTGGAAGGCAACCTGTAGTCATGGCAACAAGCGGTGTTTAAAGCGCAACGCATTCAGAGTGTTAGCAGAAAACTAATGTGCTCAATACCTCAGTCTCAGGAGGAAGAAACAAGCACGTGTTATCAAGCATGTCAGAGTTCAGTCTGAAAAATCAGGAGCAAACAACTTTCATATGCAAATATGTATGATGTTCAGTGTCTCGTGCTCTCAAGTCTGAATAAAACCTTCGCTTTTATTGTATCAACATCAAACTAATGCATATACAGACATTTATTTTATAAAATATGTTCTGTCATCTGGTGAATTTCTTAGCTGATGTAATACATATTTATATATATATGGGAATATGAGTGATTTATTTTCTTATTTCACCATATTAACTATTGTATTTATATATCGTGGGGTCCAAAAGTTTGAGACAAAATCAAATTTAAACCTGAAAATAAACAGATTGGATTTTAAATTTTTAAAAGAAGGAAATATTATGATTTATAATTAAATGTTTTACAGAAAACTGTGGAGTTTATGCAGCAGCCATAATGTGATTAAAAACCTCAAAATATACAATATAATACAATATTTAAAAAATTTACATTTCTCAATATCATGTACTTTTTTCAGTTCAACTTTTCACTCAAATTGTTTTGATGATAATATAATTGCAATGTGTGTTTGTGTATGTGTGTATATACACCTGTTTATTTTTAGGTTTAAATGTGATATATATTTATAATGTAGCTATTAAATTGAAAAAAAAAAGACCAAATAGAAGCATTTTTACTAGTGCTCTGAGATTTTTGGACACCACTATCAATCATAAGAGCAGCCTGTTATTCACATTTTCGGCAGAATATTATTTACCACGCAGTGTGTGTTAATATTATTTTCAGGGTTTTTTTTTAAATCTCCTCTTCTGTAGTAAACACGCTACTGATTATTTTATTTTTGCCTTAGGCTTTCATCAGATTCAAATACTAAAACAGAGATAATTAGGAAACAGTTCAGCTGAGCTGAAAATACAACAGTGGGGAATAATGCTGCGTTCCAGGCAGGTTTTTGAGCACGTAAATCACGACTTCAAACCACGACTCACGACTTTGTAGCGTTCCAGGCCAGTCACGCCAAACTACCTGAGCGCAATATACATACTTATTTTTTCAGACACATAACATTGTAATACATAATCGTGTGTGTATATACATACTTATTGTTTCAGACACATAACATTGTAATACATAATCTTGTGTGTATTATTATCATTATTATTATATTATTATTAATTTGACTGCAACGTTATATTGTCCTAAAGTGTATTCTCACT